TATATATATCTATATATATATATCTATCTAAAAGATATTTGGAATATTTTTTTGGAATATTGATAATATTTTGATCATTTTTTCCTGCCAATATTTCAAAAAACACTTTCAAACTTTGTGTCAGTATATTAAAATATTTGTTATGCTAGGGGAATAGATCACATTATGCATCACACTGGGTAAAAACCAAATGAGTTAAGAGGGAATCATTTAAAATTGTAACTTTAGAACTGTAAAATTAATACTGCCACAAAATGTTTCCTTTTATTATCATTAGAGCATCTGCTACAGCAATTAGCAAGGAAGGTATTTGGGGACTGAGCATATATTTTCCAGTCTACCAGTAAACAAAAGATTATGCAAATAGTGTGGATTTAGTGCCTAATTAAGCTCTGCAGTTCAGTTCAAGAGATTCATTAAGTACCACCTACATCCTTAGCAATCGATACAAGGATGAGTAACAGTCAACACAGAAAGCACATGCTGCTGACCACAGAAACTCTGAATGCTTTGTCCAGGATAGCAATCTGAAATGCAGGAAACATTTCTCACCCTGGAGAAGTTACAAGGTGTGACTTGCAAGAGAATGATTTATGCTTTTAGTCAAATAGTCTTAGTAGACAGGAAATACACTGAAAGACTAAAACTGAATTTCAAGTACTGCTGTGTTTTTCCATGGATGTTTCTTAGCCCAGTAGGTACCTTTCATCCTAAAATTTTATCTGTCAGAATTGTTATGTTTGCAAATTTTTCAAAGTCTTTATATTAATATTGTAAAACTTTTTAGAGTTGCAAAGCCTCCTTGACTGCATAATTAGCCTCACCCACAGCATGTTATTGCTATCAAACTAGCTGTTGAACAGATTGTCTTTAGGTATCTCTGTCAGTGTCTTTAAAAACCCCACTCTTCAAACAGTTCTCAGATTCTCATTACTTTAAGGCAAATATTCCAAGTTTTACCCTCTTCTCACAAAAAAGAAAGCTGACCAAAGAAGGCAGACAGCTCTAGGCATCACGAATTAATTACGGGTGGCTGGTTTGACACCTTCCCAAATTGACTGCAATAAAAAGATCCTAAAGTTTCAATAAAGATTAGCTAATCCACAAAAAACCCCAATCAACTGGTCGTTTCAGTCCCACTCATATGATCATAGGATAATCCAGGCTGTAAGGAGCTTCAGATCAGCTAGTCCAACCTGCTGCTCAAATGAGGGTCAAGGATGACACTCCCAAGTACAATGTAGCAAATAACCTTCACACTTGCAATTTCACTTGCATTCCAGGAAGGAAATGAGGAATGGACCATTTTCGGATACAAACATTATTAAATTGAAATGTAACCATACACAAAGCAAAAGAATGGTGTAACAGTCTGTCAATCCAGTATCTTTTACAGAGCAAACCATCTATAAACACTACCAAAGAATAAAATCCTGCACAATGCAAAGTAGAAAAGCTTTTGCCCTAAAGCTGATCTCTTTCATACATCATTCTTCCTTTCCAAAATAAAAATAAACGTAATTCTAAGTTCTCTCACCTGTATATAACACCTGCCAAGTCAAACATCCGCCGTGCAGCTGTCATCTCTGTGGTGTCATGATACTTGTCAGACATAAAAATAACCTCCTTTATGCCTAAAGAAGTCATATAGAAAAAAATGTTAGAATTACACTGTCTGGTGCACAAAATCAGAAAAGACAGCATCATCCATACACTCTAGAGCTCCTTGGTACACTTCTGCTCATAAATTTATGCTGTCTCAAATTGCTGAATGATCTATTGCCTAAATTGCTTAGGGGAGAAGTGTAAAGGATTCAAAGAAAGAATTCACAAGCATTTCAGAGCCTATCAACAGCTCCCTGTGTTTGCCAGACAACATGAATATCAACACATTGCAATTTAGTGCTGACCTAAGTGCATAAGGAAAAGGATGAGTGACTTCATTGAGAATAAGCAGCCAGTCTACCTTGAAGACCATTTGATTTTGATTCTGTAAATAGAGAACTGTAGCACAAATGCAGAATACCATCACCTTTCCCTCTTCACCTCTCTTTATTTCAAACCTTACTGAACCACAGTAAAGCAGTGACCTGTTTGCTACTTTCTTCCTAGATTCCTGCAGCCATTAGTAGTGAGAGCAACTCCCCAGAACAGCAATCCATGCTGGGATCACATGACTTCACCCTAAGAGCCAAAGATATGCTACTTTAAGCAGAGATTTTTACGAAACTGAAGCCTACTGCAGATACTGCCTAATCTGAAAAAAGCAGACACATTTAGGCCAGCACACTTGCTGCCATGGCACAGATTTATAACAATTGTAATGAAAGACATAATTAAAGTAGGATCATAGAAGTCTTATGACATTTATGAGCAAAGATATTTTAAAATCTTCAAATATCTACCATGCATCATATTCAAATTAAAATTTCATGTATATACTCCCAACAGACCTTTTGTCATGCAGAAGTTTATTTCTTTCTGCCCTACTCTATTCAATGTGTCAGAGCACAGCAAAATTGACAGTAATTATATGCAAAGCCTGTGTTGTTCTTTGGCAGCTCCTGGTCTAAGAAGTTACAAACCTAAATTAGGAGCACGCTTAGAATCACAGAAGATGCAATTAGCACTGGAAAAATTTGGCACCATTCAGATGCAAAAAAAAACCCACAAGTAGCATCTTATGAAGTTGACAGTGCAATTAATTTAGATCTAACATCAGCAATTTAACATCAAATACGTCTCTGATAAGATACCAATGAGCAGCAGCACTGCAACCCTGAAAAACCAAGCTGGCACTACTGCTTACCTGCCTGGATGATGAGCTTTGCACATTCATTACAAGGAAATAAGGCAACATACATGCTGCAGCCTTTCACATCAGCTGAGTTTTTGTTCATGATGGCATTCAATTCGGCATGGCACACTGATTAAAGCAGAAAAGAAACAATTCATAATACTGTTCATTAAAACAAATCAAACTAAAATTAAAGTGTTACAATATAACTGCTTACATCTTTTCAAAGGCAAATAGCTTGCACAGCTTGTCATAAAGGGCAGAGGAAGAAATAAAAGCAAAAATACCAAGATCAATGAAGGTCAATTGTTCTGACCAGGCTGCCGATTAGTAATGATATCATTAAGTGCATTAGCATTGCCATTTGCTAACACCTATCGCAGGCAACAAAGCCGTAGGCTGTGGGCCAAGTACTTGCAACCACCCTAAGTGAAGCAATATCTCACAGCTTCACAACTCTCTGGAGTATCTAATTGCCAGTATAAAACAGCTCATTTATGTGTTTACATGCACAGATAGGAACAGTCTTATGGCTGTAAGAGCGCACTGTGTGCTCTTAAAGGCAGGAGAATCGCGAAGTGAAACTGAGCAACTCTGTCCTCTGGGTCTCAGAACGGCTCAGCGCTGCTGCATGATTCTCTCACCCCAAGAATACACAAGACACACTCAACCATAAAAATGTCCCAGCTTTAATATTAAAGTGAGTTTACTGCTCATTAAAAGGTGCCAGACTTCCCAAGCAGGAAAACAAAGTCCTCTGTTTCTCCATGGATTTGAGATGGGCCAGGTAGCAACAGACTATCTGCCTTAATCCACCATAACACAATAGCTATTTCTGGACAGACAGCACCTTAGGGTTTAAGTGTTTATAAGGTACACATCAGCAGATTATCTAATGTGTTACCAAGACAGGTGAGAAGAACAGAGTTTCTGTGTCATCCAAAATGAACCTCTGAAAAAAAACATTAGGATCTCTGCAAGAACTTCCTGTTTTCTCCTAGGAATAACAGCAAGTTGCATAATTTATGTACCTACTTACTAAGAAACTGCCTGCTGCCATGACTTTATAAACAGATGTTGAAGCAAGGTGTGGGTTTGAGCCTGTTTAGAGACCTGCATGTGCAGATAACATTAAGAGTTTTTCCACTGCTTGTTCTGAAGAACAGATTTTTTTAAAAGTAGTTTTCCTTTCCCTTGCATCCATGAGAAAATTAAAACAGACAGCACTTCATAGCAGAAGTTCATAGTAAGCCTGGTACCATATGCTGACCTCTATGTGAATGATCTCACCACACATCTGAGTGCAGTACCTTCAACACACAGGAATCCTTGCTGAATGGAAATGGTTTCTGTATGCACTCAATGTCTACATGGAATTTTCTATTTAACAGCTAATGCACTACAAATTTACAGCCTAACTTACAGCACACAAGCTTTCCCATGCAAACAAGTCACAAAGGACTAAACACTTGCTAAAGAAAGCTCAGTATTGGCTTCTACCATGCTCATATTATGCTGTCCACATACCTCCTCATAACCAGTAAAGCTAGAAACTAACACAAAAAATAGGAAAATAAAAAAGAAAACCCCAAAGCCAAGCACCATCACATTCAAGTTTCTTTTATTATTATTATTGTTTCTATTGCAACTGTTCTTGGGTCACTCTGTATTTTAAATATATGCCATTAAGTGTACAAGATATACAGTTACACGAACCTGTACATTTAGAAAATCTAGAAAATAAGTTGAACTCCAAGTGTATTTCTGAGTTGGACCAATCTTATGTAGCCTTCACAATAAATATTTTTCTGGGGTTACAGAGGGTTGAGTGAAAAAGTATCATTATTTCCACAACTGGAACTAGGTTATGTAAACAAGACAGAAACATCACTTTTAAGTTTCTTTGAACAATATACTTGTGTTCTAGGCAGCAGGCTACAATATGGAAGGCCTCCAGAAAGAAGGATGTTTTCAAAGGCTCACAGAACTAAAATAAAACCCAAACAACTCCAAACTAATTCCTTCAGTAAATATTTTTCCTTCACTAAAACTCAGAAATCTTCAGCTATAAAACCAGACAAGTTTCATTATTAGTACAGCAACAAGTTTCCTTCCTGCAGTGATGAGAGAGAAAGGTTCTTTTGGCAGACTTCTACAAACTTTCAACAACAAACCTCTTCCCAAGTGAAAACAAGATCAGGC